GTCATTTCTCCATATCAGCTCAGCCCCTGTTGACTGACTTGATTGTTTTCCTGTTGGGAGAATAAGACGTGTTTTAGAAGCCTGAGTGTCGTTCATTTTATTGTTTATCCGCCTCAGCCAGAACTCACCAGCTGCTTCACGGCCTGTCTCTCTATAATGTGGGTCTTCACTGCAGTGGATAAGCGTAACACGGGGGTCATGGGAGGGGGGGGGGGGGGGGGGGGGTTGAACGTGCTAAGCAACTGTGCAGAAATCCATCCCCTCATGCATCCCTCCCTGTGATTGCTGGTGCAGACTTGGTAGCGTATAAGTGTCTGATGGGTTTTTTATCAATTTTGATGTTGAGAGATTAAACTCCAGTGGTATTAGCTGTCCTCACATGCCTGCCGTCCGCCCTTATGTCTGAGATTTCAAAGTCTGTGTGTCGACATTGCTACGGCATCGCTATGGCGACACTGGTGGCGTTTGATTAGTAGTCTTTTGTCAGTGTAACAGAAAGTAATGCACAAACTCTCCATTGATACATCACGTCAACATGCTGTTACACAAACATTCACATCGGAGCAGGAGCGGTCTATGGTGTGAGTCTGTGCATTGGTGTAAGGACGGTTTAATGTTAAGTATTCACACTGATCAAAGGTTTCTTTCTTTTCACAGGGCACCAATGCATACGACTTATGGAGACTGAAACCCAGTGGCTGTAAAATAATAGGTTATCACAAAAGTCAAAGTACATTTGTTTAGCTTCTCCGTCCTTTTAGGATCTGTGTAAATAATGTTTTCCTGTTTGTTTGAAAAATTGTATTGGTTGGGAGGTGGGATAGTCCTATCAAACATCAGGAGAGTGGGGCTGGAGAGAGAGGAAGAAAAAGGAAAACAGGAAGTGACGTTGGGGAGTCGAGAGTGATGGAGTTTTTTTTATGAGGGGCCGTTTAGGACTTTAGGATGTTGAGATGAGGCTGACCGGTGCTGGAGGAGTCTGACGGTCCCGTTAACTAGACCTCACATCTCCAACATCCTCGGAGCAAATTGTCACAAATGTGAGGGGTGGGACCTTAGGACCTGGGAGCCTCAGCATAGAGCGGGAGGCTTAAACTCAAGGAGAGCCTCTCCATATAAAGGAGATCCCATGAGAGTTGAGCAACTCACGTTTGTTCTCGTTGTCTGGCATGTGCTGAAGTCTGGGTGCTTTGTTTGTTGCTCGCCAGTACCGTGCGGGTGAGCAGACTGTACTAAGGAGGTAGGTTGTGCAATTTTAATCTACATCCTGTAGGCCATGGGTAAATTAATATAATGTTCTTTTCTATGGTAGAAGGTCAGACCTGAACCAGACCTGGTGAGCCCAGGGTCTTACCTGCTGGTGCACAGGTGCATTGGGCCAAGGAGGTAGGAAGTTGGGCTTGCAAGCACATTATGCGTTTTGTAATGAGAAGGATGATGGATACTTGGTGATTAATGGCTGTTTTGTGCATTTCAGGCTGAACTGGTGACACGCAGTGGTCAGCAGGACAGCCACTGCTGTTTTTCTCAGACCATAGTTTTAGTTTAGATTATGCTCAAGTGCCTCCATCTTGCTCCCTCTATTTATAGAAATAACACACTGATATTGTGCCCTTTTGATGACCGTTGCTTCCCCCTGTGGTAATGTGGTAGTATTTATAAACTTGTATATAAAGATGGGCGAGTCCGGACTTAAAATCATATTGAGGAAGAGTGTAAGATTGTCGCTTTTCGCTGTTCAAAACCTCTTTGCTTCCGACTTCTGGTATAACTGAGATGCTTCCGTATGCAAGTGAGATTTCACTCACATACACCAGTGAGATGCGCACGAGTGTTTCATTAGAGTGTCTCAGAAGTTAAGCCCTAAATGGCCCCTCATATGTTTTCGCGGAGGGTTTTTGAGGTGTTTTGGTGGAGTTGATGACGGAACTCGGGGAGAGTTCCGCGAGAGGAGAAAACGAGCGGCGGCAAGAGCGAGTGGAAGAAGAGTTGAGCGGGGCGTTGTAAGGATCGAGGAGAAAGAGGGCAACCCGGGCAGTAGCCAACCCGGACACTCAGTCCACGCTCGCCCCCAGGACTCTGAGACCAGACCTAAGCCAGCGGGTAACGGCTGGGACGACTCCCCCACTCCCGCCTTGCCAACACTGTAAGGACGACGAGTGAGGTGTTTTTTTTGTTGGCACAAAGCCGGCGTTTTTGTTCCCCATCGCTCTCCCGCAAACAGGCCTGCACCGGTCAGCGGACAACTATATTGTACCACTCTATGTATGTAGTAGTTATTTACCTGCAGGCTTATTGTGTCTGTTGTATTGTGTGTCATTGTGAATATTTGCTGTTATCTACATCACACTCCAAGTAATTGGTTTATTGCTATATGTGGTTTTGAGCTGTTTGACGGGTATTATAAAGTGCTTAAATAATATGGTTAGCAGAGTGCTGTAACCTAGGACAGAGGTCTCCAACAGGGGTCCGCGGAGGTACTGCAGGGGAGTAGTAGTTACGAATTCGGGCAGCGCAGTCCAAATAGCCAGGACAGCTAGAGGGCACTACATATATTATTTCAACATCAATAAAGTTGGCATTTCTCAATGGGCATTGCACGTCTTTGCAATTTTTAAGCCTTTGTTACAAAATGAGAGCAATTCGAGGAGGAAATTAAATATGGGTCGCTGAATGGAAATTGATAAGATGTTTTAAAAAGAAAGAAAACTAATTCATAGTCATTAGTTGTGTTCTAAAATCCAAGCTTTACTGCTTCATCTGGACTGCCTGGATGAGATTCCTGATATCTTTTTTTATAGACTGAAACAAAATGTGAAATTACAAGAATTTGTCACAAGCTATTCTTGCATACTCACATTTTCCCCATCCTCAATCCAAATACACAATTAAAAGATAGTTGAACTTAAGTTTAGAAGCCAGTGCAGGCGCCCAATTTCAAATCAGATGATTGTGCCACATGTTGGGTCAATAAGAACCTTTTGCTCGGAACCTCATTGCGGAGAGGTTCCGTTTTCAGAAACGTGATCAAAAGGAAGGAGAATCAGTAACTGATTACTTAGTGGCGAAGTATTGTGAGTATGAAGCTCATTTGGATGAAGCTTTGTGAGTGAATTGGCCTCTGAGTCAATTCAAAGAAAATTGCTAGCAGAGAAAGAGCTAACATTTGCACAAGCATGTGAGATCGCATTGACAATGGAAATGGCATCCAAGAATTCTCTGGAAATCTTAGGAAAATCACAGAATGCAGCTGTAAATGAAGTTTCTAAATTTAAGTTGGTAAGCAGAGGAAAGTGGCAGTTTAGAAGTGGAAATGAGAGCCCAACCCAGGAGTTTGATCAGAAGCCGGACAGTGAACAGAGATGCTACCGTTGTGGGGGAGGGAGACACTCATCCCAGGAGTGCCGATTCAAAAATGAGAGATGTCATGCGTGTTCCAAGACAGGGCATATTTCCAGAGCGTGTCGGAAATAAGAGACAGACCGCCAGGGCCCAGTATGTGGAAACTGAGGATCTGAGTGTAGGTGGAGAAGATTCGGAGTCTTTACAGTCTACATGGCATCCAGTGGGGATGGAGGCATTAAAGTAAATGTGAAAGTGGGTGATGAGGACATTAGCATGCAGCTGGATACAGGTACCGAATATATATGGAGTTGTGTTTAATAAAATATATAATTAATTACTTCACCTAATTACTTCACCCAAAGAAAACAAAAAACTTGCAATCTCTGTGTGAGCGAGTGAGGAGCCGGATTTTCTCCCGCACCCTGCCCAGTGGCTCAAGAAAATCTGTCACTACACCCCTTCTTGACTATGTTCAGGTCCCAGTGCAGTATGGTGATCAGAAAGAGACGTTTCCTCTCATCATACTGAAAGGAAATAGTTCTGCTCTCTTTGGCTGAAATTGGTTGGAGAAGCTAAAGCTGGATTGGAAAAACATCTTCACGCTGGCGACCCGGAATTGCAAACACTGCTTCAACGCCACTCACAGGTGTTTTCTGAGGAGGTCAGGTCCATAGAAGATTTCAGGGCAACCATAAGAATGCGGCCTGGACCCCAACCAGTCTTTTGCAAAGCCCGCCCTGTGCCATATTCACTGAAAGAGGCTCTAGAAAAAGAACTGGATAGGTTGGAAAAAGAGGGAATTGTTTCCAAAAAGTTGATCGAAGTCAATGGGGGGCCCCGATTGTGGTGGTACCAAAGGCTGATAAATTCATCCACATCCGTGGGGACTACAAGGTCACGATAAATAGCCAATTGGAAGTAGAGACATACCCCCTGCCCAACGCTGAAGATTTATTTGCAACCCTAGCTGGGGGGACATGGTTCTCAAAGTTAGATCTTTCCCATGCTTACCAGCAATTGAGATTGGATAAAGATTTTAACCATAAATACCCACAGAGGATGTACCGCTACCATCGCCTTAGCTATGGGGTTGCCAGCGCACCATCAATTTTTCAGTCAGTGATGGATCAAGTTCTGCAAGGCCAAGAAGGCGTGACTTGTTTTTTGGATGACATCTTAATCACAGCCAACACTAAAGCCCTGCACTTGGAAAGACTGGAAGCAGTGTTGGGCTGTCCGGCGCGTTATGGCTTGAGAGCAAGTTGGCCAAATGCAGATTTTTGCAGACGAGTGTGGAGTGTTTGGGGCGTCAGATATACCATGAAGGCCTACACCCCACACAGCAAAAAGTGGAGGCAATGTGAATGCCCCAAAGCCCACAAATGTCTCAAGAGTTTTATTTGGGACTGTTGAACTATTATGGCCATTTTCTGAAGAGCTTGTCCAGTGTGTTACAGCCATTGCATGTGTAACCCCTCCCCTGCAACTGTCGCTTAGAGACAGTGCAGAACAAAATGAGAGCAATTCGAGGAGGAAATTAAATATGGGTCGCTGAATGGAAATTCAGCGAATATAGGGGGATATTCAAATTCAATCCAGGTTCGATGAGGAGACTAGTGAGTATTCAATTGCAAACAGGAAATGTCCACCCCAAATTACGCTTAACACAACAGATTTATTTATAACACAATTAGACAATCATTTCTGCAGCAAATGCACGATTCCATACATCAAAAGAATGTCCAAGCAGGTAATATAAAAAATAAAGAAAACCTCTGAGATCTCTGGAATAAGTTTGATTCGGAAAAAAACGTGTAAAAGAAGGAGTATTGTCCAAAAAAGAGTGTCCTACCACCCTTCTGTTCACAACCAAAGTCAAGTCAAAGGGACTCCAGGCGCACTGTGACGTCCGATGTGAGGGTCCTCTTGGTGGTGGATGGATGAAGATGTGGTGGCAGACCGGACCGTACTTCTGGTTCCAGTGATGGAGCTATCCAAAAAATACAGCCTATGCACACGTGCAGGACAACAATTCAATACCGATCCAACTAGGCCTGCAAGCCGCATGGCTAAAACATCACACACAATATAACAAGTAATTACCATTAGCAGCTCAGGTCATTCAATTATATCCATTACACATTCATAAATGTACCGTTGTACCCCTTTCTAATTCCCTTCCTGACTGGTTTTAATACAGTAGACAACTTTACAAAAAAACAAAATATCGTTGAGCATTCTTGCTAACACAGCTAACGGTAAACGCATCGAACTTCAGTCAACTCACCAGGATATCAAATGTTCAAAGGTTTTATCATCTTCCCCAAAACTCCCGACGTTGAATGGCTCATGGCTCAATACTTAAATTAAAGTTGCTAATTTTTCGATGAATCATCGGTTTTCTGCTCACTCTTAACTTACTCCTATCTATATAGAGACAGATGATCACTTAAATAAATCTCCGTGCATGGGGTGACAAAGATTGACTATTAAGGAAAAGATGAACTCTTTTCCTGGTTAGACAGGGAAAATGTTACGATTTATCTAATTTACTTATGAACAGTTTTCAAACCCTGGTTACACATGCTCTACTAAAGAGGGAGGAAAAGTGGAGCTGGACACCGGCATGTGAGGAAGCCTTCAAGAAAGGAAAAGAGATCTTACTGAGCAGCACTGTCCTGGTTCATTATGACACAAAGAAGCCGTTGAGATTAGCATGTGACGCATCCCCCTACGGCAATGCATTGCATTTATGCACAGTAATAACCTCTACTTTACCCAGCCTCCTGTTTGACGTTAGCTGCCTGCTGTCTGGTGCCTCTCCCTCGGCCTCGTTCTCTGCTCTCACCGGGATTACCCGTTGCCGGCCAAACGCCCGCATTCTTCTGTTAAGCATTAAGAGACTTTTTGTTTTTGTTCATTAAAACAGACTTTACCTTCCCTTGCGTTTGGGTCCTCTCTCCTTCACAACCACACCAGATGTAGTCAAAAGGAAATAAATATTAAAAAAATGTAAATGTTGATGGCACCCACCCAGTGTTATTGTTTGTTCATATAATCGCATACCCATTGATTCGTTCTCGAAGTAGAGACCGTGACCAGTGCGACAAGTGATCTTAGTCCATATTGGCTTAGCTGCACTAAAATGGGAAGCCGTTGTATCACTTATTGGCATTTTATTAGTAGAATAATAAATACCAACACTACTACTTTTAAAGGCCGTATTGTATTGTCACATATTGGCAAATTATAAAACAAATTTGGCAAATAAAACGGCAACTGTCGAGGCACCACTGGCGCAAAGTTGAGGCAGCTGTCGTGAAGTCGAGGCAACTGCCTCGTGAAGTCGTGGCAAGTGCCTCGGAGTCGAACCTCGGCACCGCAACTTTTTTTTCTGATTTGACTACACTAATATACAGTTGACTTAATGAAAAGGAAAAATTCTTCGGATTCCAATTTATTTCTCCAAATACCTGATGCTTCATAATAATTCCCACCATTTTGCAGCAAAAACAACGTTTGAATGCAGTGTCAAAGAGGGTAAAAAACGTTAGCCTGGGGTGGAAATCTCTCAACGGCCATGATAATCAAAAGCTCTTTCATAGTGCTCATCTAGGGAGTCACTGTCTTGAGGAGTCCAAGGTCAGAGGAAAAGCAGAAAGTGTAAACCAGGCAGACCCAGGGCTGATAAGGATGAGACCACACATTGAATGATTGGATCTTGTGTTGTGGCGAGAGGACCTGCTCCTCCTCGACGCCAGTTTAGGGCCAATAGAAATATTTCCTTTCATATCTAACAAGAAATACAAAATGTAATGTTTTTCCTTATGTTAGTCAGTTGGTCTTCCGGCCTGCGCTTATACTTGTGATCTGACAAATAAATCTACCAGAACAAGTTGTTTGGCCGAATTTTGTTCGTGATCTTTCAGCCAAGGGTTGTTTTTATGTATTCCATGTCAGACTGAGAGTCAGGTTATGTTTTTTGTCTTTTTTGTAGAGACCTTCAATTGCACGCATGTCTGTGTTTTACTGACTTTGAAGCCATTTAGACATGAGCTTTCCATCGCCTTTTTTTCGCGGACATATTTGTCCCGTATTTTCCTCCACAACTTTGTGGATCTCCCTCCATGAATCGGAGGCCATCCGCGCGTCCTCATACGCCAATGACGGGTTGTAGAAGTGGTCATATTTATGGATTTCTTCCGACAAAATCTCTTCAATCTGATTTTATTCTCTTGCGTCTGCGTATCTTTGCGTTTCTCTGAAAGTGCAGAAGCATAAAATAGGCTTCACTCCATGTGCAGCCCCGGTGTGCTGGAGGCTCTGTGCGGAGAACGAACCCTGTGTGGAACTCAACTCCGCCTCAGTGTTTCTGTCCCCACTTGGGCCAACATGGTCCATAGCGAGGACCTGACGTCACGTCACTAACGTCATGGCGTTCTAAAGGAGTCTTTCCCGGATAACGCGGACCAGCTCCCACGGTTGCTCCAGTCCGGCGCTCAGACCGTGTACTGCGGCTTTGACCCCACGGCCGATAGCCTACATGTGGGCAACTTGCTTGCCATCGTCGGCCTCTTGCACTTCAGCAGCGCCGGGCACCACTGCCCTGAATCTGTATAACCTACCATGCAGGTTTTTTTATTATAGTAAAATAAATTTCAACACGTTTAAGCATATGATTTCTACTCCCTCAACCCAAATTAAAATGTATGTCAAAATAACGTTAACTTAACAAAACAAAGTCTAGGTTCAAAACAAAGGGAAAAATCATTATCCAAATGGGGAGAGAAAAGATTGGTATGAGTTGGGTAACTAAACAAAGGTAGGCTAGGTGACTTCTCCAGAGGCAGTCGCTCCCCTGGAGGAAGGACTGTGGCGAGGGGAAATCCAGAGTTTTATCCTCTCCATAATTGAGAGGCAATCAGGGAACAGGGGTGTGCAATCTCCCACGCTCTCCCTGGAAAACACCGCCACCAGCAGCCGAGCAGATGAAGGGCGGGGTCGTAACAGTATCCATATATTACAACAGTAACTTGGTTACAAACTCTGTTCCCACGTTAAAGTTTTTAGTTAAAATTTGATTAAAAGCAAACATACTTTTGAGCTAGCGGTGACGAGGTGTACGGCCTCACCATCCCGCTGGTGACCAGCTTGGCCAGGGACAAGCTGGGGAAGAAGGCAGGCAATGCGTGGTGGCTCAACAGAGACAAGATGTCTCCCTGTTACGGGTGGTCTCTCTCTCTCTCTCTCTCTCTCTCTCTCTCTCTCTCTCTCTCTCTCTCTCTCTCTCTCTCTCGCAAGACCTGAAGTTATCCCGTTGATGGTTGCTAGTACACCCGTCCCCTGATCTATCTTAAGTGAAGGCATTCTGTGCAGTCCCAGGAAGCTCAGGTGTATTGTTTGTTTTCTTTACCCTTACGTTCTTGAAGCTGTTCAGCTTCCTGCCTGTGGCGGAGGTGGAGAGGCTGATGGAGCAGCAGAGGGACAACCCAGGGAAAAGCCTCGCAAACAAGCGGTACGGGGGATGATCCACCTGTACAATACCCAAAACGGTCATATTCTGTATCATTGCTGCAGGTGCATCGACGCACTTTAAAACAGCAGCGTGCAGGCCCTGGAGGAAATGAGAGACGATGAGCTTCAGGAGCTTTTCAGGGAGCCACCCTTCCACGAGCTGCTGCTGGAGCCGATTATCACGGTGATAGACGCCTGCCGCCGGGTCAACGGCATCCCAGAGGTTAGGTCCTGTCGGTTAAAATCTTCAGCCCAAAGTAAGTAAGGTAATGCTGCTGAGATGCATTGAGATGAGCAACTCTCTCTGCAAGAGATCTATAGTTGATTAGCCATGCTTTAAAAAAGCCTGTTTGGCTATAAATCCCAAGCGGGAACACAAAAGCAAGGTACAAAACTGTGTCAAGTGTCAGGATCTCCGATCCCCACGAGTTGGTTGATGACAAGGATCCAGCACGTTGACCAATTAAAGTCAAAAAGTTAACATTTATTTAGAAGAGAAAAAGATTACATGAGCAATTCTCCGCAGATATCTGTCTCTAACTATTGCTTGCAAGCAGGAGGTCAAACACACCAGCACGTATTCCAGCGTTCTGTGTAATGGCGTCTCCGAGCAGTAAAAAGGTTTTATACACATGAAGACCATCCTCAGTGCCAGTTTATGAGAAGCCACAAATCAAGTTGAGATAAGAACTCAGGTGAAGATGAGGGTAAATGCCTCCCTGATCGAGGGTCTGTGAGAGCAAGTGAACCCCCTTGTCCAGACACAGCTGCAAACCCTAAATCTTTCTGTCTCTGCACATCAGGGTCAAACACTTGAGACCTGGCTTTTAGCACCAGACAAATGTTTACAACATGTTTTACCACTACATGCATCTCACACAAGCGACATCTCCAACAAAGGTAGGAGAGGACCATCGTAAGCTATGTACAAAGACAAAAGCACCATGGATCGTCAAAGCAACCCTGTGTTATGTTCCCTGCTAGGCAACATAACAAAAACAAACGAGATGGAAAATAAGGAACGTAGCAGCCAATAGTAAATAATTTATTGTTCTTGAACATGGTGGCAGCCAAACCAGCCACATGCTTCTTTTCCTCTCCCAATCCGCCCCTGGATGATGGGTTTTAAAGGGGCCGGCTCTGATGGTGCACCCAATCAGTCTGCCGGGCTGCCTGCAAAACACATGAGAAACCTTTCTCAATAGAGAAACAAAGAACAAAAATATAGATAGTTTTTTCCTTTTCTCAACTGTCTGTTTCTTTTTGAGTGCACTCTTTATCTATTATCGTTGGTGCGCTTTGGTTGGAGCTCATTATGGAAACCTCTTATCGTACCTCCATGGGTATGTGGAATCAGCAGGGCCAGGCAACAATTTACGAACCCCTCGCTCGTTGTGAGCAGCCGTCTCCGACCACAGCAGCTGGCAGCGACAGACCTCCGTCCCTTAGCACCACCGACACGTCCTCTCGCAGCGTTAGCCTAGCTCCCGCCAGCTACTGGAACCGAAATTGCCTTGTGCTCACCAAAACACAAACGGTGGTGTGGAGTCCGACTCACACACACTCCGAACACGTTGGTCAACTACTGTTCGTCACTGATATTACTCCACACTGATGGGACACGCAGTCTCGGAGACTCAGCTCATCGCCACGTGTGGCTTCTTTTTTCTTCTTCCTTCCTCTTCCCGGGTCTCTCCCGGAAGTCTCAACACTCTAAAGTCATGAACTCACGCAAGTAACAGAATAACTTTTAAGTCACTCATTTTAAACATAAATTGTTTATACATTTTAACATCTTGATATCAAAAAGTTATTTATGTAAATTTGAACTACATTTTATCTTTAACTTATTCCTATGAAAATAATAAATTAAATACCACTGATATTTATCAGAATATTACATATGGGAAGAAAGATACAGGCCACCAACAATGGTCAGGGATGTAACACCATGCAGCTGGTGTCACAATGTCAAAAACCGTCAGAGAAGCCTGAACATTTGAGTCCCTAAAAGTATGGTAACTTTGACATATTAATACATTAAGAGTTCTTGGAAGAACTGTACATTCTCCTGTCCAACTTCCCTGAAAATGGCACTCCGCTCATCCTCCTGGGTGACTTCAACATCCAGAGAAGTCATCTGACCTCTTACACCTACTTTCTTCTCTCGCTCTGTCACTCAGTCCCTCTCCTCCTACTCACAAAGCCTTTCTTTACTAGAAACTGCTCTACCACTAACCTCTCTGTAACTCCGCTTCATGTGTCTGACCACTTCTTCATCTCCCACTGTCTATAACTAACGACCCTCCTCCATTGACTGACTCTGTACCTGCTGGTTGCAATATTCGCTCCCTCTCTCCCTCCTCGCTGG